AGGCAGATGCTCCCTTCCAGTGCCAGACACTGCTTCACCACCGGCCACCCCTAAGGGAGACAGACGCAGCCTCTTCCTTGGTTCAGTGGGAATGAAATCCCACCTCACAGGTGTAACGAAAGACAGAAGGTGCCCAGGACAGAGCAAGCACAGAGGGGGACCTGGATGCACTCCTAATATCAGAGTAAGCAGGTCCCAGGCTGGGCTGCACGTGAAAACACCAGAGTACTATAAAAATAGACTCCTTGGCCCCACTCTGTCCCTCTGGAAAATCACTGGGGCCCGGGAATCTGTTTTATTTTGTTTTATTAAGGAATGCTCTAGACAATCCTGATGTCATCATCCAAGCCCAGTCTGCAATCAGGGCTGAGTCACACTGGCCTCAGCACACCTGGCTTTAGCCCCAAGTTCCTCTGTGGACGTGGCCTCCCAGCCCCTCAGGACTCTGTCTGAATTGCTGCTTTGGTTTAGCCTGTGTATCCTGGTGCTTTGGGCCCCCACCAGGCTGAGAGGAGCTCAGCTTGGCCAAGGCCTCCTGCCAGCAAGTGCTTGCCTGGACTCTGTGCCCATGGGCACTGTCCCTGTACCCAGGCTCCAGGAAGTGGGGACAGGATCTTAGGGCTTCAGCTGAGAGGGTTGGGAGCTATGCTCCCCTAAAATAGACCAACCCATTCCATGGAGTTAATCAGGATACTGCTGTGGGTCAGAAAGCACCTAAGCCCCAACAGTGACAGCTGGGCAACCACTCTGGGGGCTCCCTGGCTCCCCCATCACCCCACTCCCCAGGCCACGTGTCCCCTAAGTGCACACGGTCCTCACACCTCTCCTTTCCTCCTTCTGGAGCCCTTCATGCCTGTCTCAAACAGGCCATTCCCCTGCATGGCTAAACTCTTCTGTAGGTGTCCCGCCTAACTTTGCCTCAACTGCAGTGTGACACTTCCCGAGGGGCTGCTCCCCTGAGGTGCCCACTGCCCTGCCACCCTCTCAAGCACGCTGTTGTTTTCCTTCACACTCATGCACCCCAGGGCCAGGTGGGGTAGACAGCTTCCTTCTCCCTGTTGCTGCTTCTAAACAACTCCCCCTCCCTCATCCCACTTTGCTTTGGAGCTGGAGCTGTTAGGCTTTTACCCCCCATCACCATCATCCCCCTTGTTTCTGTGCTGCGTCAATCTCTTCCTAGGTCCCCATCATGAATATCTGGGCTCTCAGTTTACCTGCTTCCCCCATGCTACTGGAATCATCGTTATGGTAACATGAGCATTCATGCGGACACCCAGACTCCATCTTCTCCCAGCTCCACCACCTCCACACCTTTGACAGTTTCACCCCTGCGCCCATGGCCAATATCACATCTGGGAACTTCTCCCTACCAGGAGCCCACCACCTCTAAAGTCTCAGTTCCAAGCATCTCACACTCTGACCATATTCCTGACTTTCTAGTTCACATCCTCTGATACCCACTGAACACATCTCATGTCACTGAGACAGCCAGACCCCTTGGCCCTGTTATGCTCTCACCATCTGTCATCTACCCTGTCTGTCACCTCATTCCTCTTATGGGCCGAATTGTGTCGTTCCAAAATTCCTGTGTTGAAGTCCTAACTCCCAGAAGCTCAGAATGTGATTGTATTTGGAGATGGGATTGTCTTGATTGTCCCAAATTGTCTTTAAAGAGACAAGTTAAATGAGGCCATTTGGGTGAAGCCCAATCCCATATGACTGGTCACCTTATAAGAAGAGATTAGGATGCAGATATGCACAGAGGGAAGACCACAGGAAGACACAGGGAGAAGGTGGCATCCACAAGCCAAGGAGAGAGGCGTCAGGAGAAACCCACCTGCTAAACTGTAAGATAGCAAGTGTCTGTTGTTGAAGTTTCCCAGTCTGTGGTACTTTGTTATGGCTGCCTGAGCAGACTTGAACACACTTCCTTACTCAGCTCAGATTCCAGCATGACCATTCCCTGCCACACCTTCACCATCCCCACCAGTTTCACTCACCAACTCTGGCTTAACCTGAGGAGCTGAGCATTGGTGGGGAAGATCACATAACAATGTTAATTAGCCTCTCCTAAAATGTATCACTTTGAACCTTCATATATGAGCTCAACATAGTCCATAAATTTTATCAAGTTTTTCAAGTCTTCTTTCCCACTTTGCAAGAGGCTATTTCACACATTCGATTTTGTCTTCAGAATCCAACTCCCTGCCTTTTATCTCAAGGTAGTGATCTGAGACCAGGAGGTACCAGTTGGGAGCCTCTGCATGCCCCTACCTCTGCAGCCTCAGGCCCAAGCTTTCCATTTCACCCTGTACTAACCAAAGGCCTCTTATTTTCTGAGTTCCATCTCCTTTTGCCTTTGCAAGAATTCCACTCCTCCATTTATGTCCTATCTCTTCATCAATTTCTTTTACTAAATTCCTTCCATACATTTGTCTCTCCTCCTAAAAACACCCCCCTTGACCCTCGTCCTCTTTCAGCAACTCGCTCATTTTTCTGCTCCTTTTAGTATCAAAATGTCTGGAAAAAGTCAACCATACTCCCTGGTTCAACTCATTGACTGCCTCATCGACAATTTCTTTCTGCTGTTGGACCACTTCTGTCAGTGTGCAACCATTTGTTCTCCTGCTACTCCAGTCTGACCCTCAGTAAGCCCAGTGACAACTTCAGGGTTGCCAAACCGGGTCTTCTGTGTCCTGTTCCTCCTCGAGCTCTCCAGAGCATTCCACGTGGCTGGCCGCTCCCTCTGTCTTGAATCGCTGACTCTTCTGGCTTTCCTTTACTTCACGGGCTGCTCTTTCTCAATCCCCTTTGCATCTTTCTCTACCTGACCTCCAGGCCCCCTCTTCTTCTGTTTCTAGATTATCTCACCCAGGTCCATGACTTTAAGGATCATTTATGTGCTGATGGCTCTCAAATTTATAGCTCTGTACTGACCTCTCCCTTGGGTTCCAAACACATATATCAAGCTTGATGTCTCCACCCAGATGACTCAAGCAACTCGAGCCCAACATGTGTGGCAATGATTTCTCCATCCTGCACCCACTCCCCAACGCTGTTTCCCATCTTACTAAAAGGCACCAACATCCACTCATGGCTTGGATAAAAAGCCCAGGAATCGTTCTCGCTTCCAATGGCCTTGACCCCACTGGTCTCTCCAGCTTCACTCTCAGCCCTGGCCTAAGCTACCATACTCTTTCACTGGGAAAACGAAATCGTTTTGTAAATGGTCTCTCTGTTTCTGTTCCATAGGCAGGACTGCTCTGGGGAGGGGGAATCTGTGAAGAATCGGTTTCCTGTTGTGTAGATGACACAGTTGACGCTAACTGGATTAATCAGATTACCCAAGGGGAGGTGCGTGTGTCCCCTCCTTTCTGTCGCATTTCCCTCAGAAACAGCACTTCCATTCAGAAAGCCAGATCAAGTGCCATTAACAAATCAATTCTGATCCACAGTCCAAGTGCTCAGACCTCAGGGCAATCCGGCCAGCCCTGAAGGGTGTGTCTTGGGCCTGGCCTGCTAATAAAGTGGAAACTATGCTGGAGGCAGAGGCGATTATTTTCATGCCTGTCTCTGTCCCTGGAGGGGAGAAGAGTGGGATTTGATTACACCACGGTCTCCTGAGGGAATTAACTCACTTCGGAATGCTAAGTTATTAATTCTCCAGCACAAGGTTAGGTCCGTGAGGGCAGTCAGCTCTCACACCCCTCTTTGGCTCCTGCAGCCCCCTATTTAGGACAGCATTCAGGAGGTGCCCAATAATTGGATGAGAGAATAATTAATTGGTAAGTGGGGGAATAAGACTGGGGCCTGGCATTTTTAATCACCCTTCACTCTTTTATTTAATAAATGTAACTGGGCCCCGACTGTGTTTCTCAGAAATTAAACCAAACAGACAAGGCCCCTGTCCTTCTGACCTATAGGCAGGGGGTGGGAGGGGAGGGGAAAGGCACATAATCAGCATCTGTCAAACAAATTCAAAACTGTCCTCAGAGAGTGAGCAACAGAGTCAGGATAAGAGAACGGGCCACAGTGACAGAGTGTGTGGGAAGGATGCCCAAGGAGGGCCTGAGGCTGGACACCTGGGCTGAGCTCTGCATGGGGCAAGGAGCCAGCTGGATCTGGGGGAAGATCCTTCTAGAGAGAGACCAGAAAATGCAAGTGGCTGTTGTCAGACAGCTAGGCCCAGTACATCCGGCTCAGGCCACCTTCACTGGGCAGCTGCTCTCCTCCTCACCCTGGGGGTAAGGTGGGTGTGTCCCTGCTGGGCGGCGGGCTTTGCCCGGGGTGGGTCTGCCTGCCTGGGTACCATCCTTCCCTCCAGCCTTTCTCACTCATGGCATGGGGCTTTGTTCCCTTCCCACCTCTTCTAACAGAGCCTTTCACAATCCCACTCGGAAGGGCTCCCTCCCTTCTCTGAAGTCCTGGAGCACGTTTTTGACGCCTGTCTGAAGTGGGTCAGCACTGCATGCCCCTGGATGTGAGTCTCCTCCCCGTGCCCTCTCTTCCCGTTCCCATCACGGGGCTGCTCCTGGGTAGAGGCCTCATCTCCTTTGTCTCCCATACTCCCTGGGCCAAGCCCAGGGCCCTCAGTAACAGATGTGGAGAGTCTGAATAGATTACCTGGCCCAGCAAAATTCTGAGGGGCAAATAAAGACTCACAGAAGTCTTGCTTCTCATTCCAGTATCTCTACCATGGGCAAGGAAGGAGGGCATTCCATCAGCTTCTGGAATAGGCCGCTTTGGATTGAAGTATTTTCAGAGGTGATGACACAGAAATTTCCAGAATATTCCTGCTTTTCTTATGGGATGCCTTTGGCCTTTCATAAGACAGTGCCAAGATAAGGGGCCTTGAAGAAAAAGAGTCCGGTGGAGAGATCAGGTGAAGCACTTCCTGAGGCCGCTCATCCCACCCCCCCATCTGAGGCTCCCCCAGCCACTCTGTGAGCGCCCGCCCCCGGACACCCCTGCTACTTGCAGCCAGCCTTCCCCCTGCTTACTCCCCACGCCCCCCAATATTCCCAGACATCCCTACGTTCAGCACCAAGTTTAGTCCACCAGAAAGCCCAAGATAAGCTGTCAGATGGAACACGAAGGCTCAGGTGCCTTCGGTGCAAGGCACTCGTGGCTGCCGCAGACCTCTGTGGGCCACTGAGCTCAGCCCGCACTATGGTTATGGGGATAGGTCACACCGGCCCAAACCCTGGGGGGGAAGTCAGATCGGCCACGAGCAACTGAGATGGCATCGGAGACTCTGCCTGGCCCTAAGCATGGCAGCTGACTCTTCACGCCGACTCGTCTGCTCACAGAGCTACAACTCCGCATCTTTTACCCACAGTCCGGCGTTCCCGCAAGGTGTCATTAACTCACCCTTGGAGGCCCCAGTCTCAGTCGTCGGATCTGTTCCCCAAGTCGTTGCGAAGCCATCTTTGTTCTGACCTTATCTTCTCACTGAAGTGAACAGATCCCCTCACTGAGCGGCGAATTTAACTGACAACTCAGACAAAGAACTGTGGCGGTAAAACAGGTCAAACATGTCCTCGTTGGGTGACCCTGGCACCAGGCCTCTCACTCAGCTTCACCAGTGAGCTTGCGACAGCGATGCTCAGGCCCAAGGTTCCTCCAAGGGGTTGGTGGCTCTCAGCAGCTCTCACGTTTAGGATCCAGCCAAGCTCGTTGTGACTGTTGCCGTGATTCCTCGCTGCCCCCACTCAAAAAAGGCACATTCCAACTTAGCCGAAACAGAAATGTGCTTTTATGTTTTCACGGAATCCATCTATGTTTATGGGGGATGGAGGATAAATTGGCATAGCTACTCTTGGAGCAGTGTCTCTCAATAACTAAATGTGCATATCTATGACTAAGCAATTGCACTTATAAATACATATTTTATCCTGAGGCTTAGAGAAACATACCCGTGTGTACCAGAAGACACGAGGAATGTGCCTCTTGACCTTGTTTGCAACAGCAAAATGGTAGCAAGAGCCTCACTGTTCTCCAGAAGAGGAATGGCTAAGTGAAATGTGGTGTATATGTCTGAGGCATGTCTACCCAGCCATTGAAAAGAGTGAATTAGCAATAGATAGAGTCACAGTGATGGGCCTTAAACACGCTGGTGAGTGGAGGAAAAAAAGCAAGCCAGCAATCATATGCAGAGGAAGATTAAAATGGAACACCAACACACACCATGTGTGCATGTGCACCTACACATGTGTGCATGTGTGTGCGCCTTCACATGTGTACCTACATGTGCTTTGTATGTCAGCCCTGTGGTTCTATCATTTTGTAGCTTTGAAGGCTAGAGCCTCAGGCTTTGTGAAGGGTCTATTCCTAGATCCAGGTCAAGATACCCTTTTCAGCTGACTGACATGAGTACCTTGTTTTCCCTTCCCCTCCAACTCCCTAGTAGTGTCTCTATGGCCTGGTCCAGTACAGGGTCCCAGAGCATGTCTGGAAGAGGTGGATACGGTGGCCTGTGGGAACTGGGAAATATTTGGCTTGACTTTTGAATGAAGATGGGGAAACTTCCTTGGGCTATGGCCAGGGTGTCAGGTGGGCTACAAGAGCTCCTAGATGGCCTTCGAATCTAGGAAAAGAGGTCACAGCCACCCTCAGATGTCAGGGCTCCACAGAGCTCCCAACTTACTGAAAACGTGAGGTGAGCCCAAAATCACATTGTAGAGCAAGTACCACAGAGGTCCCTGGGATGGCTGCCAAACTTGGGTTTTAGCAAAGCAAAACCAAAAACAAAAACCGTTTGTCAGAGGAAATATTTATGTGAAGCTCAATATATGGAATATATAGTGCAGTGGGCCCAAGGAAGAGGTCAGGAGCCCTCATGCTCAGCCTGTCCCCCAGGACCCATGGGTCCTTGTTGGCTCTGTGGAACCCAGTCTGAGGACCCGAGCTGCAGCAGGTAGACCTTGACCTTGGGGTACTGGCCAGACCTAGGAGTCCTTCCCGTTCTTGGGCAGACCACTTAACTTGTCTGAGTCTCATGTCCTCAACTGTCACACGGAGATCCTAAGGCCCCCTCTGCAGGGTCACTGTGAGGATTAAGTGGGATGAATGCATGTTAAGTGCCGAGCCCACAGGCTGGCACATGAAAGGTCCTATTTGTCAGTCTGTAACACTGTCTGCCTGTGTATGGTCTCCAGAAAGGCCAGGGCCTGGGTGACTGCATGGAAAAGAATAGATGTGTAGGTGGAAGGTCTGGATCGTGACCCTCAGGGCATCAGGGCTGAAGTGAGAGTCCAGTGAGGATATTCTCAAACTGATGGCTCTCATTCTTAGAAGCCAGCTGGTGGAGAGACATGGGACTGACTGGAAGTGGGGACTGCATTTTGGAGACATGGTGCCCCAGCTCCCTGTGTGACTCAGGGAAGAAGACTGAGCCTCCTCGGAGAAGGTAATGGATGTGAATGCATGGCCACTGCATGCTCTGTGCCTTCCCTCACCAAGACAAGGGGCTTCTTACCTGATTGCAGCAGGCTACGATGACGTGCTCAGGCTCCGGCATGATGCTGCTGTTCTGGGCCACCAGCGTGTCCTGGGTATGGCCGGGGAGCCGGTAGGAGGAGAAGAGCCCATAGTATTGCTTCATACAAAGGGGCTGCCCTGACAGCTGGCCTTTGGCATAGTCAGTGGGAATGGAGTGGCTGAAGAAGAGGAGCAGGAAGGGAGGCAGCCACGAGGGGATGGCAGGGGTTGAGGGGAGACAGAGAATGGGTTTTATTGTAACTCGATCAGGCAAAATGGGGCGCAGAACCCAGAATTGCATCACCGTGGCAGATGCAGAGCTCAATTCTCCACTGTTTAAAGTAGTGGAGGGCCCCATTTCCGCAACCCATGGAGACCCTCAGAGTTTTCCCAAACCTCTGCCTCATGCGTGGCATGTGTAAACCCTGCCAGTTAGCCTTCTGTATCTTTGCTTATGCTGATCTTCTCTCAGCACGCATTTGCCCCAACCCCAGAACTCAACTGTTCTATTCAGAAAACTCCTTCAAGAGCCTACTCCTTTATCATCTCTTTTAGAAGCCTCTTCCAAGGTCAACGCAGGAAGTTCTTTTTCCCTGTGGTCTCAGCATGCCTTTTGCCTGTCCTTACTCTCTCCCTCCCTTTCTTCCCTCCATCCACCCATCCATCTATCCATCATACATCCATACATCCATACATCTACCATACATCCACCACTAAACATCCATCCCTCCTTCCACCTACCACCCACTCATCCATCCACCATCCACCCATCTATCCACCATCCATCCATTCTTCCATCCACCCATCCATCCACCAAGCATCCATGCATCCTTCCATCCACCATCCACCCATCCATCCACCATCCACTTATCTATCCACCATCCATCCATCTTTCCATTCACCCATCTTTCCAACCATCTATCCACCATCCATTCATCTTTCCATTCATCCATCCATCCATCCATCCAGCCATCCTTCCACTCTTTCAGCCAACAAATATTTGTGAAGCACATCCTCTGTATAGGCCAGGCACCATTCTGGGATATGGAGATTCGGCAGCAAATAAGACTGCAGCTCCTGCTCTACGGAGGTGCAGGTCCTGGGATGTGTAGGTGGGGAGTAGACCACAAGCAGCAAACCAGTGAACAGGAGACTTTCAGGTAGTGAGACAGAGTGTTGGCAGGGGCAGGAGGTGGTGACCAGGGACAGTCTCACTGAGGCAGGTTGATTGAGCTGAGCCCTAAGGGTGAAATGTCCCACAGCACTGCAACTCAAAGTATGAGTATTGCACTGAACTGCTGTGACTGACCCATGACTTGGTGTAATGCCTGAACCCAGAAATGTTTGCAGCAATGTGATGGGAGTTTTATGTCTGCTGAATCCTGTAATAAAATATTTGGTCTCATATTTCATGCCATTTTTCTAGTAATCAATTTTTTTGTTGTTTTACACAAATTTTACAAAATGAAAGAAAATATATTGGTTCTTCCCCAGAGGCAGCTTGAGAAGCACTGGTCAAAGGCAGAGAGAAGCCAGTAGGGCTGAGGCCCAGTGAAGACAGGGCCAGAGAGGCGGGCAGGCAAGGTCTTGTGGGGCTCCAGTGGCAGTGGGGAGGAGCTATCACCTTATTCTTGGTGCAGTGAAAGCCCTCGGGGGGCTTCAGCACGCAGGGGCACGACTGGGTTTCCATTTTGTTGTTTTACTGACCCTGCTTATATGGGGAGAATGGACTGAAAGTTGTCACAGGAAGAACAAGGAAGGAGGCTGCGGCAGAGAAGGAAAGTGATGTCTCAAGTGAGGGCAGCAGGGAGGGAGGAGGGAGCTTGGGGACACGGTGGGGAGGGAGAATGACCACATCTGAGCACCATGGGTCACATGAGGGTGCAAGGGAAAAAGCAGAACACGCACAGGTGACTTCTAGGTTCCCAGACTCACCAACAGGGCATGCGCTAGTGCACTTATGGAGATGGCTCAACAAGGTATGGGAGGAGTTGGGGAGCTGGGAGGGAGAGGCAAAGCTTTCCTGGCTCATTTGTAATGACTGAGAGACACCCCAGTGGGGATGGTTGAGGCTTGGATGAGCGAGTGTGGGACTCAGGGGAAGGGACACAGCTGTATTTTGTGTCTGTTTATGTGACTGTCTTGCCCAATAGCCTAAGGACATTTTGAAGGGAAGATGAGGCCTTATTTCTCTTCATCTTCCCAGCATAACTACATTGCAAAGTGAATAAGTGAATTAATTAATTAATTAATTAAGGGTTCAAAACAGGCACTCAGGAAAATGTTCCAGTCTTAAGTCCTTTTCAGTCATTGGACATGGGAACCTCCATGTGGATATGCTTGGGTATTCGTGTTTGTGTGAGTGTGCACACAAACATGTGAAGTCTAGGATCAGAAGGAAAGTGAAGTCTTGTGGGGTCAGTCAGTGATGAATGGGCACCAAGACCCCAGGCCCAGCAAGACAAGGCTATTTGAAAATAGGCAGGATAGTGAGGTGGAGGGGCGAGTTCTGGGAGGAAATGGAGCACTGTCCATGAAGAAGGGAGAGACCAAAGACACACCATGAGGAGACAGCAGTCCAGGGCCTAGTGACCCATGGCATTTAGAGAGGAGTGAGCAGAGCACCCAAGAGCGTGTGGTGCAGAAATGCCCTGGACAGCCTGAGCTGCTCCACCCTGAGAGTCTGGGAGCTCTGCCTGCCCTTCTCCAGAGGGAGCAGCCCTACCCTGGAGGGGCTGTGGGTCTGAGCCTCTGTCCCAAGGCTAGGTAAAGACTGAGTTGAGTCAAGTTGAACAAAGAGTGAAGTTTGCCCCTTGTCCCCTCCTTGCTCTGCCACCACCCAGCTGTGTGACCATGGATGAGTTACTTAACCTCTCTGAGTTGCAGCTTCCTCATCTGTGCAAGGGATGCTTCTTTGGGCCTCTCTGTCTCCTTCCAGCTTCTAATGCCCTTATAGTCTGTACCTTGAGAGACTTGGGTCCTCCAGATCCTCCTACTCTCCCTGCTGCTCTCAGATACCCTCCTGCTCTCCTAAGCTTGGCCAGGAGAGGGACTTTCCTCCTAAAATCAAAGAGAGCCTGCGGTGCTTTAGCAGCCCTCTCCATCTGTCAGAACAGCCTCGTGTCCACTGAACTTGGGGGGATTGAGGACACAGAGGCTCTGGCTGGAGACACCATTCCTCCAAGTGGCAATCAGGACTCCCATCACCTTACTCTAACAACTGTTTCTTCCCCGCCTTCCTATGTGTTCACCAGCTTCAAATGAATTCACTCCACCTGTGCACATATATGTGGAGGGAGGGGGCACTTTTAAAAGATCAAGGAAGGATGGTGCTTGCCCCAGGAAAAGAAACAGTTAACAGTCAGGCCATCTGGGCTAAAGGTCATGCTGATGGTGGGGGAGTGGGTGAGGGCAGGGACACCTGCTCTGTGCCAGGAGCCAGAAATGGGAATACAGAGTTGGAAAAAGACAGGGTCCCTGCAAGGGAGATGGACGCATACATAGGCAGACTGTGCTGGAACAGGGCACCACCCTCCCAGTCCTACCTGTCCAGCAGGGCCTTGTAGCTGAGTACACCAGAGATGAGGCTGGCTGCAAACCTGCAGGGAGAAGGGACGCCTGAGCCCTTCCTCCCAGGGCCTGGCTTCCTCCCTCCCTCCCTTCCTCCTTCCATTCTGCCTCCCCTCCCTCCTTCCATTTCCCTTCCATCTCCTTCCTCTTCCCTCCCTTCTCTCTCCCTCCTCCCCACTGCCAAACTCTATGATTCCCCATTGTATGCCAGCCTGTGTGCACTAATCAGATGTGGCTCCTGCACTAATCAGATGTGGTTCCTGCCCTCCAGCCCAGTGCCGTGAGCCCACCAGAAGCCTTGGATTCAAAATGGTCCCTTGGTGAGAACTGGGGGTGGAGCAGCTCTTGGGGAGAGGAGAGGAAGCTGGAATCACCTTGAAGAGGAGAGGGAACGGAGAGGGAGACAGAAGCCAGGAGAGGCCACAGAGCAGGTCAGAAGGGACGAAGGGTGAAGGGTGGAGTTCTTCCTTGGAAAGGCCAGCCCTGGGGCTGGACAGGGCAGGACTCCTGGTCTTGTGGAAAATGTTCTCCTGGGAAAAGCCAGTAATTTGGTCCCTTTCCCCCTACCCCCCAGTACTAAGGAAAAGGAAAAGGAAATTGAGTGCTTGGGGAAGGGCACTGGAGAAATGAGCAGCAGGAACTATCTTCCTGGGATGCTGGGCCTGGCTTAATTGCAACGGGACGAAAATACTCCTCAGATGCAGTTGTGAGAACTGTTTTCAGAAGTCATTCATCCGTCCACACCTTCCTTCTTCCCTGGGGAGACCCCAGCTACAGTGGGAGGGAAGGCTGGCCAGCTGGTAGGGTGGGATGGGGAGGTCTTCCTAGCGTGGCTAAGCCCGGCCCAGAGGTGAGGTGGGCCCTGCCTCTTGCCCCTGGGCCACTTTGGCCTGCCCTCTGCCCTCCCTCTAAACTGTCCCCACCATTTGTCCCACTCAGGTCTTAAGACCAGACTCTGAGAGACTCCAGAAGGGAAACCCTTTCTCCCTGCCCCCATCCTCCATCGTCATCAGCGGCCAGAGGCCCTTCCAACGGCTCAGTGAGCTCTGAAATTACAGCAGATGGCACAGGCTCTGGCTGCTGGCAGGGAGGAATTGTTTCCAGCCTTCTGGGGCCTCAGTTTAGAGCTGCAAGCTCTGGAGGGAAGCAGAGGCCCTCTCAGACAGCCTGGGGCAGTGTTTCCCAGGGACAAGTACTGGTGTGGTCCAGGGCCACACGCCTCCTCTCAGGGCCTCAGCCAGGTGGAGGCTGTGGGGATATTTGGACCCATGACCTCCATGAGTGCCCATTCCACTGCAAGATAAATACAGACTAAGGCTGATCGTGTGATTGTCACTCGAGTGCAGCCACACCTAACCTTGCTCCCCACCTGATGGCCTGGACGTCCACTGTCTCAGGGCATTTGGCCACAGGAAGCTCAGCTGAGGCTCCAGCTTCAGCCTTTCTTTGCTGGCGCTGGGGTAAGGGCCCCTGCCTTGGGTGGGTCCCCAGGTTATGAGCTAGGAGCACCAAGGCCTCACCTCAGCTGGTCGTCGGTGCCAGGGAAGTGCTGCCGAGCAAAGATCACGGCGGGGCTGGAGTTGACAGGCAGGGCCAGGCGGTTGTTGAGATACATGTCATTCAGCCAGTACTCAGACACCTGCCAGGGAGGGCGGGAAAGGCTGTCACATCCCTCCAAACAGTCCTATCCTGACAGCCCCGAGAGAAAATCAGGACACTTCACCAGAGCATTAATTCATTCATTCCACAAATATATGCTAAGCCCCAGGTATGTGCCAGGAGCTTCCCAGTCCACCGGGCCTGTCCTTCACCTTTGCGCCCTCCTGTCTCCTTTCTTCTTTCCCAGTCCCCATCCTGGTGGCTTGGTGCTACATCACTGTCCTCTGCCTGTCCTTATATGTGTCTCCTTCCTGCCTTTCACCCTCTCTTCTTTCCTGATGCGATCTCTGTCCCCATCTGTCCCCTATTCCTGTCCCTGATTTGTCCTCCTCTTTCTCTATCCATATTTCCCGTTCCTCATCTTGTTTGTTTCCCATCCTTGTCCCTTCCTAGTCTTCCAATCCATGCCACCTGCCTGTTCCCACCCCATCCTCCATCCTTGTCTCTCGTCTCTCCTTCTGCCCTGTCTTTGTCCCCTACCTGCCTCTCACCGAATTCCCTCTGTCTCCAGGTCTGCCTCCTGCCCCTCTTCTATGGGTCCCTTGTCTGCCCCTCTTACCCAGTTGGCTGTCTTCTCCTGCCGCTCCAACAGTTTCTGCTGCAGGGTCTCACCGAGGCCACCAGGGGCCCCGAACCGCTGCACAATGGCCTGGCTCTTCCTGAACTTCTCCTCAGGCACCAGGTGTCGCATGCACTGCAGGTACGTGGCCAGGGTCTGACGCAGGGGGGGCACGGGCAGTTTGGGCAGCCCCTGGAGAAGAGGGTTCATAGGCATTGTGCCTCTCGTATGTGCGCCCCATGCCTGTCCCCAGGTTGGTCCCTAGTATCTGTGTCGTTCTGCCCCTGTGTTGTTCTCTACCCTGGGGCCTGTCCATTTCTAGGGCTCAGCTCAGCAAAATTATGAACTTAGGAAGTTTTGGTTTGGTCCCTGACCTCACTGTGCTCTGTCCCCAGAAAGGGGTAAAGTGTAGAGGAAAATATGGTGATATTGGCACCAGACAGACCTGGGTTTGTACCCTGACCCTGCCACTGACCAGCTCTGCAAACTTGGGCAAGTCACCCTCCCTCTGTGCCTCAGTTTCTTCCTCTGTAGAATGGGAGTAGTAACCCCTCTCTCTCATAGGATCAAACAGATAATAGATATGAAAGGGCTTTTAAGCCACAAAGGATGGATCTAAGATGAAATAGTCCTGTTATTGATATTGTTGGCTACTGGTGACTCTTAATTTAGGATTGTTCCCAGCTGGGGCTCCAGAATCTGATTGATCTCTGGACCTGAAGGGGGCACTCTTAAGGAGAGATTTGGAAGGATAAAAGATGGTTTTGGATGAGAGACAATTCAGTGCTGCCCTAATGACTAGAATCCTACAAGAGGTTTGCTCAGAAGATGATTCATGCCCTGAGCTTCTTATAAGTCCCTCCTACTTATAAAACCCAGGCAGGGGATTTTGTTTCATGTGGGTGTTAGGGGCAGTGGGGGGGATGCAGTGAATGTCCCTCCTCTCCGAATCTCTCCAAGCCTCTGCTCCTCATCCATAGGACATAAATAATAATTCCTACCTGAGAGGAACACAGAGAGAATTAAATGGGGGAAACAACTGGCCTCGGATAGGCACATCTAAAATGTTACGACCTTGCTGTCTTATACTGCCAGAAGAATTCCCAAGTGGAAACCCATACTCTTTGGGGGCCCCAAAGTGTGGCTAGAGCCTGGGAAGAACCCCCCGACTCCGGCCTCCTATACGCATGCTGTGCTTCTCAGTTTGCCAGCAGCTTTCACCACAGAAGGCTTCTGTGTGGCTTCAATTTTGTGACTTCCCATTTATTTATGAGGAAACTGAGTCCCAGAGAGTGGAGTAGCTAGTCCAAGGTAACATACAAATCTGATGGCAGACAAGGAACTAAAATCAGTCTTCCATGTCCACTCTGCTTCTTTCTCCTGGGTCGTTCTCTCCCTTCCCTTTCACTCCCTTTTCCATTCCTTTCCTCTTCTTGTCCCTCACTGGGCCACTGACAATAGGAAGGCAGAACTTATAATAATATTGCTTAAATTGTCCAATTTCTTCTCCTGTAAAATGGGGATAGTGAGCCCTCCCTCTCATGGGATTAAAGACCTAATGCATGTGAAAGTGCTTTTAAGCCATGAAGGATGGATCTAAGATGAAATAGTCCTGTTACTGATATTGTTGGCTGCTAGTCACTCTTAATTTATAAACTGTTCTCAGCTGGGGCTCCAGAATCTAACTGATCTCCAGACCTGAGGGGCGGGAGGCAGACCTGGAGAGATTTGGAAGGATGAAAGATGGCTTTGGATGAGAGACATAATTCAGTGCTGCCCTAATGACCAGAATTCTGCAACATGGTTCCTGGGACACGCTGGTAGACAGTGAGGCACCTTCCTTCAGGGGTTTCTCCTCTGTGCAGTGATGAGTTTCCATGAGACAGTAAAGGTTCCTCCCCGTAGGCTGCAGAGTGAAGGGGCCCCTTAAAAGCACCTCCTTCTCTGCCCGTGCTGCTGATGGATGAATGGCGGCCCTCTGCCTGTCTGATCCTGCCTCTAGGGTTCACTTCTCTGGTAGGGGTGGAGTGTCAATGCCAACTACGGGCTGCTTCTGCCCTGGGGAATGATGCGAGGACAGATCTGGGCAGCATCCCAGGCTGCCCTGCCCAACCCCAGCGAGCCAGGTCTGGGCCCCCAACCCAGCTGTTCTAGTTGTTCCATCTCTTGCGGTGGGGGGTGGTCTGTGTGATGGGTGGGTGGGCAGGTGAGCACCTACAGAAAGCCCAGCCCAGTTAATGGCCTGGCCAAAAGGGCCCACAAGTCTGGCTAGAGCCTCTACCAGACACTGCCCGCCTTCTTCTAGGCTCTGACAGTGCACTGTGACTTAGCCTGGCTAACAGGGAATCAGCAGTGGGTAAAAAGAAAGCAGGAAATCGCAGCTCAGACATCTCAGCCCCCCCAGGGATCCTCCCCAGACTCTCCCAGACTTCTAGCCCTGTACTAAGAGGGTCTTTGGACCTGGGAGTCTCAGGTAATACTCCAAAACTCCGTATTTCCTGGGCAGTTCATGTGAGTCAGATCCTGGGCTGAACTCAGAGACAATGGAGAAACAGAGCCTGCTCTTAAGGAAGCCACAGCCCAATGGGGTGGGTGGAGAAGCATGCCAGTGGACCAGAGGTGACAATAGATGTTTGTCAGCTGCAGAGGTCAGGGCAATGGAGTGAGCAGCTTCTTGGGGAGAAGCCAGAAAATTCTGTTCAGGGTTTCAAATGAGGGCTTGGGGAAGGGGGAACAGGGAAGAGGAGTGGCAAAAAGACAAGTGTGGGAAAGGGGAAACACATGCAGCAACCTGAAATCAGGTGTGTTGCTCTGCCACCCGAAGGCTGGCTGGAGTGGGAGGGAGGATGCCTGCCCAGGGATGATGGCATTGTCTCAGGCCAGTGGAGAACATAGTGCCTAAGGCTCCAAGGCTGAACTAGTGACAGCAGCTGGAGCTGGGACTTGAGGGGCTTGGAGTAGGAATTCAGCCCCACCCTAAGGCAAAATCACTGGGCTCAAAGCTATCAGAAGTGGAAGCTGGGATGAAGAGAGGCCCTGAAAGGAAAGATAGTGCCTAGCCTGGCCCAGGGATTTGGAAGTTTAGCTCTTAGCATTCCCTTGGCACCCTGAGGCCCATCTCAGCCCCTCCAGGCCCTTCTGGGATCCTCAGCAAGCTGGGGGCGGGGCTGTAGCCTGGGCCTTGTGCCAGTAGAGGACAGGGCTGGGGCCAGGCAAATGCTGGGGGCCAGTCTCAGTCAGGACTGTTCTGCAAGCAAGGGCATGTGGGTGGGGAAAGCAGGGTTGAGATAGGACTCCAAAAGTCACTCACAGACTCCTCCTCACTGCTGGGAGTTTTTGCTGCCATCTTATGGGGGACCTTTTCCAGGATGGGTGTCTTGGTGAGTCCTGGTCCAGGGATGCAGAGTGTGGACCTGGGGACCAAGAAGTGAGAAGCATCAACACAGCAGCCACATAGACCTATCACAAACCCTCCACCTCCCACCAACAGACCCCTACCCCAGCTCCATGAGGAGGCCAGAGCCTGACAGCTGTATATAGGGGTCTCATTGTAGGCCTGGCCCCAGTCTCGAGTTCCAGCTGTGTGTGCTGACCACAGTGTTCTCTCTGGGCCCCCATATGGGAGACAGTGGTTCCTAATGTGAGGGTCTGCTCTCATGGGGCTGTTGCCACCCAAGGCTAGCTGACCACCCCAGGGCAATCCAAATCCACCAGGGGTTGCTGGCGGAGTGCTGGTTTTGTTCCTGCCTGGAATCCAATAGATAAGTGCTTTGCTGATCAAGCTCTCTCTTTCCCACTAGCTTCTGAAGGGTAAGACCATACCTACTGTGCTCAGGGCTTCATCTCTGGGGCCTGGCCACATCTCTGGTGTGGAGTAGGGTGAATTTCCTCAGTTGGTTGACTGAGGGAAACAAATGCATGTGTGGGTGAATGGAGGCCTTTAAGGCCCTGTGCTCCAGGATGCATCTGGGCTAATTGGGAGCCTGGCCTGTGGCCAGGGCAGGGAGACTCTGGGCCTGCTGGAGGGACTGTGACCTAGGCAGTCTTGGGTCTGCAGGCTGCCAGTGTAGATGCCATGGGAGTGCCCAGGGAGGTATGTAGGGAGGCAGGGCAGCCAGGGCCCCTAGGGGTCACCAGCCTTAGTCTGGGGAGAGGCAGATTAATTTTGAAGGTACAGTAGAAGTGAGCCAGGCCAAGAGGGCAAAGACTGTTATTATTAGGCTGTGGGTCACAATTGCTATCCTCTGAGATCCCCCTGAACCTAAGCCTCCACAGGCACATACTGATGTTTTCCACCAGCCCACACTCTATTCTCTCTCAAGTCTAAAGCTGATGTTTAGCTCATTTCCTCACCCCTCTCCCCGCCCAACACCACCCCTACCCAGAGGCAAGCATGGTCCACGTATGGGCACATGGCAGGGTTGTTGCCAGGAACAGAGAGTCGAGAAAGATGGATGAACCAGGCCCAAAGATGGAGAAGCCTGGGGCTGCCTTGCAGTGCTGGGCAAAGAATGTAAAGCCCTTGCTGGCACAGTGCAGGGACACTCTCGACTGGCTGGTTCCCAGGCCTCCCAGTGCTGTGGGTTCATAGGGGCTGCCCCCAACTGCAAAGTGAAAGAGGTGGCATCCTGGTGAGCATTCACCAGAGCATGGCAGTCTTTTGAGGGGACAGCAAGGACAAGGTCAGGTTGGAAAAGGACCTGCAGACAATGCAGCCAATGCCTCCTTTTGCTCTGGCCCGGACCCTCCCACCCCCACATTTGGGAGACACTAGTCAGGCCTCAGGGACCTTGAGCTTGAAGAAGAGGGCAGAGCTGGGTGGGATGGTTTCCTGGTGGTCCCACCTGCCAGCTCCTCTTCCTGCATCACTACTGGGCGGATGCCTAGAGGGTGTATGTGTGAATATGTCTGTTTGTCTGTCTGTTTTGTGCCTCCCACCCATGATCCTGCCAGCCTGGCTTTCCAAGGGCTGCCTGCTCTGCCCGGAAGGTCCAACCCCAGTCTGGCCGGTCATCACAGGCTGTCATCGGCTATGTCCTGGCTCAGACTTGCCACCAGCGGCTGATCCTTCTTCCCCACCCCCTGCTCCCGGGAGAGGCGGTTGCGAACCAGCAATTCAGGCGAGTCGGGTCAGACCCGCGGACCCTCCGACTAGACACAGAAAGTGCTTAGCAGATGCTGGGCCAAGTGAAGTGAGAACATGCGCTTGGAGTGCCGAAGCCCTGATGGTCAAGCCTCCCCAAGACCAGGCAAAGAAGCAGTGCAATCCTGCAGCTTCCCAGCTGACCCCCGACGGCCGCTGCTGCGCAGGACTCGGAGAACTCCACGAGTCCTTGGGCCTCTCGGCCCCGATGCTGTCCCTGGATAGAGCCCCCGACCGCCGCCCTTGCTCCGGGCACCGCGCTCCGCCAGCCCAGCCCAGCCCTGCTTCTCACCTGCTCTCCTCGGCTCTGCTGCCTTGGCCGCCGCTGCACCGCACCACTCAGGAGTGTGGGCGGGGGTGTGAGCCGGAAGGGGTGGGGGGCGTGTCGCAGCGCGAGAGTGGGGGCTGCCGCCTGGGTTCTGGGCAGGGCCTCCGACGTCGCCCAGGTCCCCGCGGCCACCCGACTGGAGAAAGCAAGCTGGCCGCACTTCTCTCTTTCCTCTTGTTCCTCCTCCCTCCTCTCTCTTGCATTTCCTCCCTCCCCCAAGACCCCCTTCTTCTCTCTTCTTCGAGGTCCTCAGTCCCCCATCCCTTCCCCTGCTTCCCGCCCAGGGATCTCAGCTCCTGGCCCCCAGAATCTACCTGGAGGGCTTCCTGGAGGAACTAGAGCAACAAATTTAGGCTCTAGAAGGGGTCCAGAACACTGTCCCGCCCACGACCCCTGCCCCTAGCCCACCATTCCCCAGTCACCGCACTTCCCCAACCCCATTATTCTAGCCGTGGGGTGCTGCTGCTCAGAGTCCTGGAGAGGGTTGGGTCTGAGGAAGTCTCTGCTCTCTGCCCTCCTCTCCCCACCATCCAGACCAGTCTCAAACCCTACTACACCGTCTTTCAAAATAAGAAGAAACAACAACTGGGTTCAATGTTCATGCAGGACTTCCCTTTCTGTTACCATCCAATTCCTGCTGGCACTATGGGTGGGGAGCAGAGGTGGGTGCTACAGACTTGGGACAATCCTAATGGCAGACATGGGGATGCTTAAGGACTGCGGCAGGAGGCAGACTTTCCTTTCAGACCAAAGCATCCCCCACCCCAGATAGAGACCCCCACACACAAACAGCACAGACAGACTGACAAAGGCAGACTCCGCCCAGGCACACACAGCCCGACTCGCAGATCCAGGACAGACATGCGCACAACAGCAGAGCAGACCCCCACAGAGGCAGCAAACACACAGGCGACCCTGACCAGCAGCGTCTTCACGCTGGGATGGGAAGACTCTGCCTCCATCATCAGACTACGGTCCTCGGAACAGGGAGTGTTGCGCAAACGCTGGCCTGAGGCTCTCAGGGCTGGGACTAAGGATGGGAAACTTTCCTGACAGTCCTGGGCCGCTGCTCCCACTCAGGATAGGGTGGCAGTGGGGGTTGGCACCAGGTCGCACACTCGCATCTCTCCCTTCAAGACTCAGACCCTCAGAACTGACAGGGACACAGCAAACACCGACCACGGCTCCCCAGCTCCTCCTAGGACAGAGCCTAGTTCTCTAATAAACACACACATATCACATCATACACACATTTCCAGAGGTCGGACTCTAAAAGATGGGCCGTTTTTCTTCCTCTGCTGGAATGCTCGGCTCCTACTCCTTTCTCAAAGCCTGAACGGGGCGGGGATTCTGGTCTGAAGGGAAGCTCAGCCCAGGCGCCTCAGAGTTCTGTGGATGGTTTGAGGCGTGTCCTCAAAGGGCGGGGCCTGGCGTGCCCAGCTGGAGCGGGTCCTCAGGCTACTCCCGGCGGCACCCCCGGGCTCTGCGCTGGGCCTGGAAAGGAGGATCTGTTCTGGGCCCACGGGAGCGTGGTGCTCCTTGGTGATGGTGGGTGACAGCCTTTGTTGGGTTTGCTTCCTTCCTATTCCCTTTTCCAGGTAGAAAAAGAGCTACAGGCACCTGCGTGTTAGTTTGGCTCAGGCCTGGTTTGGGACTTGGAGATGCAGTTCACCCTCCCCTCTGCTCTGGCCCTGCCCCCCACCACGCACCCCCCACCAGTAAAGAGACTCGGCCTCCTGGGACAGACACGGTTTATTGATTTGGGCGGAGGCACCGCGGTGCAGCGGCCCAAGTTTGGCACTGAGAGCAATGGAAGGAAGGACAGACAGATGCAGGGTCTACACAGGGGAGCCGCAGATGGGGACTCGGGGTCCTCATCACCTCTGCAAGGAGCGCGATGGCTTCGCTTGCCTCGGTGCTCCAAGCCCCACTGGACAAGAGAGAAAGGGATATGGAATGGGTCACAGGGAGGGGATTCGGGTGGAAGTCAAGGTTGAGGAGGGGTTGGGGTACTGGCTGGAGGAGGTGGACCCTGAGCCAGAGCTGGCCCGTGGGCTTGCAGAGCAGCCGCCTTGACCCAAGGCGGGTGGGTGGGCTGGAGGAGGAGTGGGGATGCTAGCTGCGGGTGTAGTAGTAATTGCAGTCGTCCTCGCACTCGTCAAAAGGGCCAGGCGGGCTGCGAGGCTCGCCGTCCTGGCCAGACACAGGACGCTCACGCAGTCGCACCGCATCGTACAAACCTTGCGGTGGCTCATCAAGCAGCACATCGCGCTCGGACCGGGAGCGCGTCAGGAGACCCACGTTGCGGAGCAGCAGCAAAACGGGAGCATAGAGCAGGTTGGCCAGACCCATGCCAAGGCTGAGCTGCTCAAAGCCCAGCGAGTGCACAATGTGGCCCGCCACTATGGGCCCGAGCGCGTAGGCCACAGAATAGGAGATGTCGGCGATGGCATAGACGCTGCCATACACTGAGACGTGGCGCACGTCCACCAAGAAGGCGAGCGTGGGCAGCAGTGCTGTGTCGACTAGGGCTATGCCAAAACAGAGGCCGCAGAGCGAGACCACTAGCGGCGCGAAGGAGCGGCAGGCGGGCACGATGCACGAGCTGGCGCCGATCACAGCCAGCCCTAGCGCGCCGTACAGCCACTGCAGGTGTGGGTAGCGCGCCGCCAGGCGCACGGTGAGGTAGACGCCCAGCACATGAGGCACGAAGGCCGGCAGCCAGGCCATGCCCATCTCCCACTCGGAAGCCGCCATCGTATGCTTCATCCACGTGGCAATGGTGGGCTCTAGGAAGGCGAGGGGAATATTACAGGTGGTGAGCGCACCGGCCACCACGGCAATGTAGGGGTCCAGCATGAGGCGGTGGATGGGAGTGCCCACTGGCAGG